AGTTCAACTCTCACCTAAATATAGTCTTAAATAAATTGAGCACTGGCAAAACTGTCAAAGAATTAAAAAAAAAAAAATATTGTGATTTTAAATGTTTGCTTAGTAAATCTCTTTTCAGCTTCTAAGTAAAGCTGTAGAGAAGTGTCTTGTAATCAAAATGGCAGTTAAAACTAAAATGCTTATATCTTGCAATCTACTAGGCCGATTTTAACTCTTTCTTATTTATATAAAGAAGAAAACATATAATTGCAAGACAAAAATACTTGTATCTCACGATCTACTAGGCCGATTTTAATGTTTTAACTGCCATTTCGATCGCAAGACACTCCTCTACAACCTTTATTAGAAGTTGAAAAAAAAAGTTTTAGTTGAAAATCTCCAAATTCGGAAATTTTACTATTCAAACTCAAACAGTTTGACAAACTTCAAATCAAACTAAAAAGTTCGGCAAATCAAATCAAACTTTAATGCTTCAAACTCAAATCAAACTCAAACTTAATTAAAGTTTGATTTGAGTTTGATTTGTAGGAACCCTACTTACCTAAAAAGAGTTTTTAACAGTTAATTGTTTAATGGTGCCTAGCTGTTAGCTGGCCTTAATACTAGTTTTAAAAGCTTTAGGCTAATACCAAGAGCGGAGTGAAATAGGGTGTATGGCTTACTTGTAGGAAAAATGGTGTACAGATACAAAATCTTGTATTTTATGATTAGCATGGACATTACTCAAGTGAATCATAATCTCTAGCATAACCACAAAATTAGTCACATAATTGCCGAATCTCACTGCCCAGCAGATAATGACATTTTTGTCACAAACTTAATTTAATTTTTAATCACTATATTTGCGTAAAAAAAGAAAAGCATGTTTATTCGGTGACCTTTATTGTCTAACTTTATATACTATAGCATGAAATATAAAATTTGTTGATTCTCAATCAATATGATTGAAGAATAACTTAAGGATGTTCTCAAGCACCTTAATCAACCGGCCAGGATGGTCTGAGGATAAATTTTTATTAGTAAAAAAAATAGTTTAACGAATCAATTGCATTGATTATTCCAATGAATAAAATATATAATGAAAGTTTAATAAGTCAGAAAGAAAATTTTTGTTAGCAGAAGTTCGTTTAACCGACAAGGGTATTTATCATTCTAATCAACAAGAGATAGAGGCCCAGGCATCCTTTTTTTATCATAAAATTGCATTTATTGATTGAAATTTTTCATAACTGATTAGAAAAAATAATTGTTCAAGTACAGTACTTCACTTTTTTCGTTATAGATCTTCAAATCATTATTAATGTTGACAAATTATTATATACTGTATTATCTTATTACTTATGCTTACCACAAATAAAAAAAAAGCACTTTTTTTATTCTGTTGGTTCGTAATAAATTCTGAAAAAGAAGTAACAGAATTTGGAAGTGTCATAGATTCTTTATCCTTTCGTTTTCATTAATTTATTTTATTTAATTGTATTTTTTATTTTTACTGTATTTGTAAAAACAATAATTGCTAAATGATAGTAATAATAAAAACGTTTGCTCAAGCATCAATTGCAATCAATATTTTAATTAATCATAATACTTAAGCACCAACACGATCATAAATTGATCCATTGTGGAAGATATTTCAGTCATATCATCGTTCATACTATAGGTCTTCAACATCATATCGAAAGGGGGTTTTCCTATACCGATCATGCCGAAATCGGCAAATTTTTTATCAGGTGTTCAGAAATTGTGATAACAATCAGATGCATAATCCGAATTTCAGAATCACCCGAGTCATTTTTACCTAAACCTATTTCTTGCACTAAATCTTTTGTTATTTACAAATTAAGGCAAATATTAACACAGTTCAACCAATTCATTCTTTGTGCAAATCTTGTTTGTTAAGCTATTATTTAAAAATTCATAACAACCAACTCTCCGTGTAGTGTTCAATTCACAAGAAAAAGGTCTCTATATAGGCACTTTTTTTAAAAAAATTACAACTGTGTGTGATTATGTGGAAGAACGACTGTATTCTAAGTGCAAGGCAAGATAACAGTCTAGATATTTATACATCCCACTTCTATTAATCTATGTTTCTATAAAACTCTTCCATAATGGGTCATTTAAATAATGAACATTTTCAACACCTATATTCTTGTTGATCTTTTTACTAGATTAAATAAAATCATTAAAGGTTGTTAAAACTAATGTATATATAGCATCCAGAGTAGATGTCAAGAACTTACATGTCTTCGGTGGACATTTTTGTCAACCCTACTGCAAGAGCTTGCTCCTTTCCTTCAGCAAATACCCCAACAATTGTGTCAGCCGGCAAGTCTTCATCCATCCTTGCGCCTTTGCTCGTTAGACCAGGGCACATTATGTTTGCGCCAGATAGGATAAATTTAATTGCTCCTCTATCCACCTGTAACCTTGGAAAAACGTCTGGATCTATATTAAAATGATATTTTCGGTTTACCAGAAAGGCATAAGATTGTCGAAATATCGAGATCATATAATTAATAATAAATGATATTACATTTGTGAAGTAATCGTAATGTTGGGTAATAAGGTCCATCAAAGTGTTGAAAGAATAATATCTCATTATTTATGGTTAATAAATTAATATGTTCATGGCTAAAGATTTAGTATTATAATAATAATAAAATATAGCGAACGGTTGGTTGGTCAAATTAGTAATAAAAAAAAAAAAAAAAAAGAAAGAAAGGAGAGCTATATACCATTTTACCAAAACTAAGGAGGCTTTTTTGGGCAAGACTTCGTCGATTACTGGCTCTAACTTTTTATACTGTTCAAGAATTTTAGCACGAATACCTCGCTGAACTGAAGTTTTTACTAAGGATTGGGTAGCTACGTCTTCTTTTATATTGAACCTGTGAATGGTCAGAGAAGTGTTGATGAGAAAGTATAAAGGGTATAGAGGGTATAGAAGCTAACAAAACATAACATTACTTTTTGAACATGTTTGATCAGACAAGAAAAGTTCATGTTTATAAATCCGTGTAACACGGATTATTTCAGTATTTGTGCTATTTGCTTAGCCAATCATTATAGATGTTTGAAAGCGAATTAAATTAAATTCGATCATGGCTTTCGTTCAAAAAAAGAATCCAAAAAAAACTACCACACGAAGCGTAACAAGGGCTGCAAAGGTTTGATAAATAAAAATAAATAATTCATTCTCTAATTATTCTATGTTTACAGTTGTGATTGGTTTTGCTAACACAAAAGTTCTTTTTCGACATACTAGGAAAAAGCTGCTGCCGAGGCTGCTACAAAAGCTGAAGTGTCTCCTCAATACGATGGCGATGTCTTTATGAAAACAGAATCGACTGGAACTTTTCGAACTGAAATGTCAGAACAAATCGTAGAGGAGGACGCAGTCTCAGAAACTTCTACTATCGCTACTCCAATTGATACACCAACAGGACCACCTTCACCCAATAACAGCTTTCCAATTCCATTAAATCTTAATAGTGTTCATAAGCTTTTCAAGAATCCACATTATAAAACAGCCAAAAAATTTAAGAATGTTAAACAAATGCTTGCTGCTGAAAGGAATAATAAAGTTCCATTGGACATACCAACTTGTATGTCTTCATATTTCCTGAGTTCGTATAATATATCACCTTCTTCTAAGTAATTAAATGTTTTAGATTCAAACATAGAAGCACCACCTTCAATAGTACCACAAAAGAAGTATTGCGATATTACAGGGTTGGAGGTAATATAATACTCAAAAATTGTTATTTTTAAAGTTGTCTAACTATCTTTTATGTATATAACATGCAAACAACCATTAGGGAAAATACACGGATCCAAAAACTCGCCTTCGATATCATTCTGCTGAGGTATATAAAGAAATAAAGCAATTAGCACCAGGCGTTGTTCAAGATTATCTTGGATTGAGACACGCTGCTGTTGTATTGCGATAGTTGATCAAATATCATTTACGTGTCAATATCACGTGTTGGTTATTGTGCATTGATATGTGACTACGCTACGCATTAAACTACAAATAGATAAATAAAGGAAATAAAAAAACCAAAAGAAGATTATGCTCAATAATTATTATAGTTTTCTATTTTACAATGCTATTTCTATTACACACATAATATTTATACATGAGTATTTAACATTAATAATCTATGATAATTCACATTTTCCCGAATGGTCACCGTTCTCACCGTTGATATCACTACTGTTCAGTAGTTCACTTAAAGCAGCAACTTCTTCACTAACTGCTTCTTTTTGGTAACCAAGTAAAAACCTAAACAAACTAGCTGCTTCTCGATTCCTCGAAAATTGGAGGCAAAATGCTTGTATCTCAATAAAAAACCTGCTAACATCTATTATATTCTTACGAATAAGCGACTGAAGAAAGACGCAGATCTAATTTTTAGAAGTGTGTGTTAGACCATGTGTGACAAGGAATAATTATACTTGTCTGCAATAATATAAAACACTTACAAGACGAACTTGACGTTCTTGTATATTTCTATTTTGACATTCTTCACAAGCACGAACACAGTTGGAGAGATAAGAGTGAAGAAATTCTGGTGTGAGTGGGAACGATAACAAAAGGTTATTGACAACTTCCATAGAGGACCTCATTCTGTTAACCGGTTCCATAGAAGATTGTTGTGATCGCTCTGGGTCGTCAATAGTAAGAAGTGTCTCCAAGTATCTAACAAATAAATTTTTTGAATCTAATAACAAAATGAAAATTTAAAAACATAATAATATATGTGATTACTCACTGGTCAATCTGCGGGGACGACTTAAGTTGTAATAATACTTTTATGGCAACTCTTGAATTGTTTTCGATCAGGAAAGGAAGCTTTTCCGGAGAAAAGTCGCAAGTATAGATAAGCTTATCATTCTTTTCAAGTTGCTTTAATATAAACTAAAGAACACAAATATTATTATGAATGTCTAACTCTTGGTGCACACTGATTCATTCACAAACCTCTTCTTCTGGTATTGACAATGCTCCTTGCAAAGCTCTATTCATCAAAGACCTAACCTCATCGCGATCCAAATCTGCTACCAGTGTGTTATAGTCCACTTCCATCACAGAATCCAACTCAAGTGAATGAGACTGTGATACATGACATAATAAAGAAACAATCGTTTAGCATTTAACTAATGTAAAAGGATTTCCATATACTACCTCATGTTGCATTACTGGAACTTGGGGAGAAGTATACGAAATTTCTTTGACCTCCTTATCACCAATTTCAGCCCAAGACCGTGATTTTTTGGTTTCAGGTTGCCTTCAACAAGAGTTCGTACATTTATATGAGCACATATATTTAATTAAACTAATAAAAATCCATACAATTGTTAATACCTCTCTAGTTGTCCTTTTGGACGAACATCGAACTCATTTTTAATGTAGTACTCAAATCTTGCAATGTTGACTTCCTCTGTATCCATTAGTGAATTTTCGGTGTTTGAAAATTGAAAGAATATATCAGTCGGAGTTTTATTTGCCAGCTATTATTTCAATTTTATTATTATTAATTTTTTTTTAAAAAAAAAGGAATTAGAAGATTAACATGTCGTCTTAAAAATATAAGGCTTATAAATATGATGAATTTTCATATAATGTCATTAGAAAGGTACCTGTGCTCCTTTGTCAGCTAAAATTAAAGCCTCCACACGAAATTCAACCAACAAATCATAATTAGCTTTGACAAAAGCAAGATTTGAGAACAGTGCTTTATAGAGATTCAGAAATAGCAAAAGAAATGGGTTTTCGTGAATGGGAACGACGTTATATAAATGATATAGAATATAAAGGGCAACAATTCGTTGGTTTGCCTATAGTTAAAGCAGGAATGCAAGTATAAATGCAAACAGCTACTACTAATTGGACATCATATCAAATTCTTTATTCCTAAAGAGAGTAGGACAAATCTACTAGTTTGGTTTGTTAGCCTGACGAACCTTTAAGTCGCCATCTTCAAGCATCGCCATTAACTTACAAGCAGCTTCAAACCTTTTCTGTTCTGGTACTAGACCTTTAAAAGTGTCTGCAATGTTTTCAACTGGCTGATCAGCTACGTACAAAAGGCTCTGAAAAGTAGAAATTCCCTCAGAGGTCGCCATTTTCAAGTGGTCTCTATGCTTCTAAAGTTTGAGGGACGAGAGCAACCTTTTAATTTCTACTCAAAATGATGCAAATGTATTCAAATTCTGCACGTGTCAATGAATTTGTGTAGATCATCAAAATTTATTGATTTCCAGATACTTGGTTTACACCAATCCTCATTGAAATAACCTGTTACCGTTATTAGGTATCTTGCTATGCAAGGCTCAAATCGAACAATTGATATTAGTAGTGCCTCGGTGAGATACTCATTCCATTCTTTTCCCAATTCACTTTATTAACAGGTTCTCTGACGAAATATACCTTTTTACGATAAAAGGTTGTAGATCTCAAGGCTGAACTTTTCAAACAAAAAGAGGAATTTCAAAAACAAAAGGCGTCAGCAAATAATCAACCAGTTTCTGCAGCTCTAAGAAGGGTCGCAAAGGTTAGCAACAAGTTTGTTCATTTCTCCTATAAAGTTTGTATTTAACATTAACTGATCATACTAGAAATCAGGACTATGGGAACGTCAAAACAAGGGAGTAAGTGAAAGATCCCAGAAAGATGAATTAGAGATCATTGAAGCACCGACCTTGGAGGCTAGTCGGATAGCAATGGAAAGGAAAGCTAAATTATACGATCAATTGAAAAAGACTGGCATTAATGGTATGATTTCAAATTGTTGCCCAATTTTGTTTAATTCTTTTGAAACTTACTTATTGTTATGTGCCTCGTACACAGATGAGAAGCTTGCCGAGGAAATCTTGGTTGATTTTGATCGTAAAGCATTGGAACATCTATCAGTTAGTGATGCATACCTAAATTCTCTTTTACTATATTTACATATATATTCAATTATTTCTTCTATGATTATTTTACAGGATGATGAATTGAAAGAGGACAAACCGAATGTTGAAAATGATCCATGGGTAGAATACACCGATGAATTCGGGAGGACGCGCATTGTGCGTAAAAGCCAAGTTCCAAAAGAAGAATCCTTGCCTCAAAGGTATTATTTATTAATTTAGGTTTAATATTTATGTTAATTATTAAAATTAAAAAATGCATTGCGTTTATAGTACATTGCTATCCGGCGAAGGAAATGTTGAAGATATATCAGCATTGGAACAAGAGCGACGGCGATGGGAAGAAGCAGCTCTAGAGGAATTGAAAAGTATGTGCCTTCTTCTATATCGTGACATACATATATTTTTATATTTTTGACAAAACTAAAATACAAACTTCATACTAGATGGCGGACCAATTCATTACGACGAAACAAAGGGTAAAGTTTTTTTTATAATTTTGGTATATCAAGCTGTCCTGTCGCCTTTAATAATACTAACATTTTATTGTATCATTATAGAAATCCGCACAAAGGGTGTAGGTTTCTACCGTTTCTCAAAAGATGAGCTGGAACGTGAAGAACAAATGCGTACATTAAAAGAGATGAGACTCGAGGCACGTACATTTTTACAGATATGCCATTTATAAATTGCGATTTATATGATTTAATTAATTGTGTTTTATTAGACCGAATCAAAACGGGCTAATTATCAAAGCATTAAAGAAAAACGAAAAGCTCAGTTGGATGCAAGAATGGCAATGATTCGTGCAAAAAGACAAAAAAATACATCTATTGCGGAGTCGACACCAGTACAATCTTCGTCTATACAGAAAGAAGTGCATAAATTAGATTCTTAGCTAGTGTATCTACCGTGTAGGGCATTTAAAAGTGATAATAACTAAAATTTATAGAACTAATAATAATAATAAACAAAGACATTGATTGATTCGTAGCTAAATTACACTTTAGCTCTTTTTTTTTTTAAAAAAAAAAATCACTTTTATTTAAAAAAAACAAATTCCACCTTATTTAAAAAAATTGATATTTAAAAAAAGCTTTTGTTCATTCTGAAATCGCAAAAAATATAGTCAAAAAATAAAATACCGTATAGCCTCGAAATAAGGATTATTGCGCGGGAATAAAGGACGCGTCAAATCCTTTATAAGGTGCGTTATTTCGGCATTATTTTGGCCTTAATGTGGTGTTTTTTAAAGGATGCAATTTTCGAAATAACGCCCACGAGTGTTAAGTCGCGGCTATACGGTATATATTATGCCTGCACGTGGTTTAAAGTATGTAATGCTTAATTTAGGGACTTACATTGGTAACATTCAGGGCTGTGGTTAGGACAAATTCTGTGAATTCAATGTGATAAAATTTTTGTCTAATTCTGTGGTAATATTTATAATTTCTGTGATCTAATACGATTATAAATTTTTCCAAAACAACTAATATTATGAATTCTGATTCTTTGGTGATTAAGAAAAATTCTGCTGTTTTCTGTGAATCACGGCCCTGGTCAAAGAATGATTAAGTGACGTAACAGTTTCCCTTCTGAGCACTAGGGATGTTAATCGGTCCCGCAGTATTGTCAGCCGACTTTGAGCAAGATTTATAAAGAATTGGCATTTTTAACCGGCATTAGTCCAATAAATAATGTCAGAGAAAAATAATTTTCTGTAACATTTTCTAGATGGGACCGATTAGGGCCGATTTGCACATAGTAATTCAGATTGTTATATTGAATTAGCTGCGCAATACATGGAATCTGATACAAAAGCGGTCTGCTTTTGTAGCTGGAATAAACTTAATTGAAGATTACTTTGCAGAGCTGTTTACCTTTTACCTATTATCTTCAAATATTTGTCAATGATATTATTGACAATATAAATATGAATTAGAAACTTTCTAAGTTTAAGTTTAATAAGTAAGCAAAATATTATTTATTATACTTGATCTTATTTAAATATATATGTAATTTATATAAATTTAAGTATTCTACAGTGCGGGACAGCAAGAGACATCCAATGTCTATTAATAAAACTTTAAAGTGGTATAACTTTTTTAAAACAA